AGCAATCAGATGTGGTGGTGCACGCTTCTAGTCCCAGCTACTCAGAAGCTGAGGTGGTAGGATCCCTTGAGCACAGGAGTCTGAGGTTACAGTGAGCCAAGATCATGCAACTGCACTCTAACCTGGGTGGCAAAGCAAGACCCGTGTCTCAAAAAAAAAAAAAAGTTTGAGTATGCAAGAGTGAAGAAAAGGTTGTAATAGGCAGTAAGTAGGTCTGTCAGCTTGATAATGACTTTTTTCAGTTAAGAGAATGGAAGAATCTCATCAAGAAGCAACAGAGAAAGAAGTAGAAAGAATTTGGGATTGTTGCAGACTATTTTCAAGAAGATCGTAAGTGTACACACCATTCAAGGGAGCAATTGTATTTATCTGTTCACAGTGAGGTTACTTGGACTTTAAAGGCAGTTTCAGCTGTATGTAAGTTTGAATAAATGGCATATTCATTTAATGAGGATTCTTCTCCCCTTAGAAATTTCATGTAAAAGTTTGAAGTTAACTTTTTCATTTTTATTTTTTGTTCAAAATGAAATATGCATTCAAGTGAGAAATGTCAAAGTACCGTTCCACCTCCCCTCATTATAAAATGTAAGTGTATATTTTCAGATTTTTTTTTTTTTTTTTTTTTTTTTTTGAGACGGAGTCTCGCTCGTCGCCCAGGCTGAGTGCAGTGGCCGGATCTCAGCCACTGCAAGCTCTCCGCCTCCCGGGTTTACGCCATTCTCCTGCCTCAGACTCCCGAGTAGCTGGGACTACAGGCGCCCGCCACCTCGCTTGGCTAAGTTTCATATTTTTAGTGAGACGGGGTTTCACCGTGTCAGCCAGGATGGTCTCGATCTCCTGACTCCGTGATCGCCCGTCTCGGCCTCCCAAAGTGCTGGGATTACAGGCTGAGCCACCGCGCCCGGCCAGATTATTTTATCAGTTTTATACACACCTACCTAATAGTTTGTTTGGCCAGGCATGGTGCTCATGCCTGTAATCCCAGCACTTCGGGAGGCTAGGCAGGCGGATCACCTGAGGTCGGGAGGTTCGACACCTGCCTGACCAACATGGAGAAACCTGTCTCTCTAAAAAATACAAAAATTAGCCCGGTGTGGTGGTGTGTGCCTTAATCCCTAGCACTCGGTAGAGTGATGGCAGGAAACTATCGTTGAACCCTCTTATTTTTGTGGAGTTGCTTATCTATTGCTATTGTTTTTGCTGTACTCTTTTATTTGGTCCTTGGGGTGTGTGTCCTTCATTTTTAAACAAAGAAGTATTACTCTGTCTCAAAAAAGTCTTTGTTCCAATTGTAATTCTATTATATGCATACTTATTCTTCTGCTTGATTCACTTTTTTCCTAGTGGACATTCTCAATTTTTTTTTGCATTTTTAGATCTTCTCTATTTATTTTGTTCACCGATTGTTCCTCATTTATTTATGGCTTGTTGCTTGGTATTATTTATTTAATCAGGTATCTCCTTCTCATTATATTTGTTTTTTTTTTTTTTTTTTTTTAACTCATGCTACCTTGTCTAGGACACCTTGCTAATTAAAAAAAATTTTTTTTAGATATGAGGTCTTGCTATGTTGCTCAGGGTGGTCTCAAACTTATGACCTCAAGTGATCCTCCTGCCTCAGCCTCCCAAAGCACCTAGATAACAGGCACGAGCCACTGTGCCCAGCCTAAATGTCGTCTGTTGGGGATTACTAGCAGTTTATATCCCCATCTTAAAATTTATGGTTTAGGCAGGGCACAGTGGCTCATACCTGTAATCTCAGCACTGAGGGAGGCTGAGGTGGATGGATCACAAGGTCAGGAGTTCGAGAAACCAGCCTGGCCAATACGGTGAAACCCATCTCTACTAAAAAAAAAAAAAATAACCAGGCATGGTGGGCATTGCTGTAATCCCAGCTACTTGGGAGCTGAGCAGGAGAATCGCTGGAACCCGGGAGGCAGAGGTTTGCAGTGAGATGAGATTGTGCCACTGCACTCCACTTGGGTGACAGAGCAAGACTCTGTCTCAAAAGAAAAAAACATACATATGGTTTAAAAACAATACAGATTTTCTAGTTTCAGTAACTTTTTTTTTTTGAGATGGAGTGTTGCTCTGTGGCCCAGGCTGAAGTGCAATGCGCCATCTTGGCTCACTGCAACCTCCACCTCCCAGGTTCAAGTGATTCTCCTGCCTTAGCCTCCCGAGTAGCTGGGATTATAGGCACCGCACACACATCCGGCTCATCTTTGTTTTTTTAGTAGAAACGGGGTTTTACCATGTTGGCCAGGCTGGTCTTGAACTCCTGACCTCAGGTGATCCACCCGACTTGGCCTCCCAGTGTTGGGATTACAGGTGAGCACCGTACCCGCCAACCTTTTTTTTGTTTTGTTTTGTTTTTTGTTTTGAGACAGACTCTCGCTCTGTTGCCCAGGCTGGAGTGCAGTGGCGCGATCTCGGCTCACTGCAACTTCTGCCTCCTGGGTCCAAGTGCGATTCTCCTGCCTCAGCCTCCCAAGTAGCTGGGACTACAGGCGCCCGCCACCACGCCTGGCTAATTTCTGTATTTTTAGTGGAGATGGGGTTTCACCATATTGGCTAGGATGGTCTCGAACTCTTGACCCTGTGATCTGCCCGCCTCAGCCTTCCAAAGTGCTGGGATTACAGGACTGAGCCACTGTGCCTGGCCTCAGTAACATTTTTCTATCAGTTTCTTAATAGAAGAGTAACATTACCAAATTAACCATTTTCAGGTTGAACATAAAACAGCAAAATACAAAAGGGCAGTTTAGAAACAGTGGTTCTCCAGTGGGTGTGACTTCCCCCCCACACCCCCAAGAGACATTTGTTGTTATATGTAGATATTTTTGGATGTCACAGCTCGGGGGTTGAGGTGGGCTATGAGCATATAGCAGGTAGAGGCCAGGGATGCTGCTAAACATCCTACAATGCACAGGACAGTTCCCCAAACCAAAAATTATTATCCAGCCCTAAGTGTTGACAGTGGTGAGGCTGACCCTGGCTTAGGAGAGCCGATCAAAACCAGAGAAATGAGTTAAAGACAAGCAGCCAGTCCGATAAAATGCTTAAAGGCTTAAATAAAACGATTATTTAAGTGACAAAACCTGGCTCCAGACCTGCAAGCTTAGAAAAAATGGCCAAATTGCATGCACATTATTTTAATGGCTATTTTAACTTTTAGGTGTTTTTTAAAAAGCAACATTTTAAAACAAACCTGGGCAGGCATTGCCCTCTCCTCTTGTATCATAGGAACTCTTCTTGGACGGTCGACTCGTGGCTTTGGCACAGGGCACTCTCCGTATATGGAACCCAACCTGATGAAAAATATGCTTTCATGTATTTTTTTGCCTGTTGTTTGTTAAACAAACTAATTTTACTAAAAGTAGTTTGCATGATATAGTCAAATTCAGACCAGACATTAGTGATATACAAGCTGACATCAGACTAAGACTCTTAGTAAGGTTTGTGACAGCCTTTCTGCCTTCTTTGTATTTCTAAAATAACTCCTAGGAGCTTTACTCAACCACTGACACCTCCTCAGACACCTTCATACTGCCCTGTACAGTAGGCCAGTGAATGTGCCTGTGACCTCTTCCCACCACCCAACCTATTATCTGTTTTGCAAAGCCAACTTCTAAAAGAGCAGGGGAAGGATGAGTAGGCATGTGGGAAAGCTCCAGCGGGGTCAGAAGCCTTTGATCTGGGGAGGCCAAGGCAGAGGCTCCCAGCCCAGGACTACGAACACATCTGTCTTAGAGTAACAGGGCAAGTCACAGCCATGGGATTCTCCTTTTCCTTCTGGATTCTGCCCTCATGCAGACTTGGGCTACAGTAATAGATGTAAGTCTGCATCATGTAGAGATCAAAGCCCCAAGAATAAGGCTCATGTAGTCCCTACACTTGAGGAGACGGAAGTATACGATGTAGATGGACAGCTACGTTATACACACAGATCCATTATCAGCATCACATGGTGGGTTACTCTGGGCACACTCCTGCTCCACAAGGAGCAGTATCAAAAAATAAATTAATCAAATTTTTAAAAAGTAACATGGTAGATCCTGGGTGCTTAGAGAGTACTGCTCAAGTGCTGTGAGAACACCTGGGCAGAGATATCTACCCAGACATGGGAGTGACGTGGTTGGGAAATCTGATCCTACACTGCTAACACCTCTGTCTGGAGAAGTTGCTGGAGGCTTCCAAGATGGGGCCTGCTGGATAAACAAACTTTACCGAATGGGAAAGATGAAAAGGAATTGGAGGCCAAGAGAACAGCAAGTACAAAGACACAGTTTTAAGTACTTCATTGTGGCTGGAAATTGGGCTGGATGATGAGATAAAGTTTAAGGCTTTATCTTTATAACCTAGGATATATGAGTTTAGTATGATAGCAAAAAACAAAGATTTAGACTTTATCGTAAGATAAAGAAGTTTCGTTGATATCCTATTAAATAGAACATACACAAATGGCTCTGGGCACCTGAGTTACCTGAAGTCTTACTAAAAATAGATGCCAGATCCCACACCACACTACTACATTGGCATCTCCAAGGCCTTCTACCCGAGCCATTACCAATCTCAAAGGTTTTTAAAAAGACAAATTAGAAAAGACAAATGCCCAGGAGCTATACCACTTAAAGGAGGACTGAACAACTCAGATGGCTACCCCTAGAGAAAGTAACTACTGGGCAACAAAACCAATATACTTGAAGGTCCTCTAGAGAAGAGCCAGTAAGAGCTGTTCTTAGTTTCTCCATAGGACCATGCCAGGAAGTTAAGACAGAAGCCAACTTCATTCGAATATGAAGAAACCTTTTTTTAAAATCAGAGTTCTATCTAAAAAATGAACGGGGCAGTTTATGTGGCAGTGACAAGTAATCTTCAAATACAAGTCAGTGGTCATCCAAAAGGGTATTATAATAAATGTCATTTTAGACATTAGGAGACTCGTAAGATACCCTCAGTAGGAGGTATCATCCTCCTATATGGTAAGGATTTTAAAGATGATAAACCCAGAGCCTCATGAGCTAGAAGCAAAGGAGCCAGGAGAGAGCACTGGTAAAGAGGTTCTGGCCTTTTCTGCTAAAGCAGAATGAGAGATCCTTTAAGGTTCCACCCACATCTAGAGTTTATGGACTTCTCTTTTTTTTGAGACAGGGTCTCACTCTGTCACCCAGGCCAGAGTGCAGTGGCACCATCTCAGCTCACTGCAATCTCTGCCTCTCAGGCTCAAGTGATCCTCCCACCTCGGCCTCCCAAGTAGCCAGGACCACAGGCATGGGCCACCACAGCGGGCTAATTTTTTGTATTTTTGGTAGAGATGGGTTCTCGCCATGTTGCCCAGGCTGATCTTGAATTCCTGAGCTCAGATGATCTACCTGTATCCACCTCCCAAAGTGCTGGGATTAAAGGCGTGAGCCACCACGCCCGGAGTAGTGTTTATAAACTTTTATATCAAAGTTTCAAGTCTCCAAACAACGGCATCATGACTGCCACCTCTACAATACCAAATAATCTTTGTCCCTACAACAAAAAACAATTTAAAGTTCACAAATAGCTGGTCTGTTGGATTTTTAAAATAATCTTACAGAAAGTGGAATGTATGGGTTTTATTAAAGGTGTTTTCTGCTGTTTTGCCTGATATTTTCCAGGAGTCATAGACGATGAATTCAAAATCAGGACTATCTTCATCACGGATAAGTTCTTCAGCTTCTAGCGGATTTACACCCATATGTGTGAGCTACAAAAATGAAGGAAAACAAAAAACCCAGTTAAGCCACACGCAATCATTGTCCACATCCAATAATCTGCATCACTCAACCTTTAAGAGGCCAGACGCAAAGCCTGCTTTCAGTGTCTTAACATGCTGCCTAAATTTCTTATTGTAAAGATAACTTTACAGTTAAAGTCCTCTTCTCAAAGCTACCTTCTTTTTGGCAGAAAATATTCCTCAATGTACTTAAAACCTTTGGGTGAGAAAGTGAAATGATTTAGACTAGTGGTTCTCAACCTGGGTATACTTGCCCACAGGGGTCTTTTGGCAATACCTGGAGATATTTTTGGGTGTCACAACTGATATGCTGCTGGCATCTACTGGGTAGAGGCCACGGAGGCTGCTGAATATCATACAATGCACAGTACCGGCCCCCAAAACAAAGACATGCCCAGCTCCAAATGACAATCAATAGTGTCAGTGCTGAGAAACCCTACTCTAGCCCACTGGCAGGCAGAGTGATTTAGGTACGCCAGAACTCAGCCCCCTGGGAATTTCTGTATCACCAATAGTTCATGTATTAGTAAAGCTGCACTAGCATACAAATATAAAATTAAATCCCAAATCAAAAGCTTCACGACAGCACCAGCAAGTTCAGCTGGTGTTCAGATTTTAATTTTTTGCAAACGTCCTACAAATCTCTATTCAGCTTGTGTCGCAGTACATCCAGAGAGCAGTGGCCCGGCATTACTGAGAGAATGGCTCATCTTAAAATTCCCTTCCTGGGAAGAGTAGACGGAAGCCAAATAATTCTCTCATCTCAAACTGTCTTACAGAAAATGTGTTATATTGAATTTACTTTTATGAAAGTACATTTTTATTACATTATACTGTAAAATGCCTAGAAGTTATCCAGTTATGATGGCAACATCATATATAAACAATAATCACAAGACCCTTGGGAAGCTTAACCCTATTAAAGGCAAACAGACTTTAAAGAAAGACTACAAGAGCCTGGTCAGAGCGCTACGGCCTGCTCTTCTCTGTTCCCTTGCCGCCCGTCCTACCACGGCACCCTTGTAGGTGGATGTGGCAGTTTTGGTCTGTTTAACTGACAGAGAGATCCACCAATCTTCCCTTACAGTGTCTATATTTGATGTTATACATAAGAAAGTCTTCTCCGCCCAGAGACTTGACAACTATTAATTTAAGGTTTTATATTTAATGCTTTAAGACTTCTAGAATTTATGTTAGAATGAATAAATTCTAAATTTATTTATTTAGAATTTAAAATATGGAGCTTGGCCAGGCACGGTGGCTCACACCTGTAATCCCAACACTTTGGGAGGCCAAGGCGGGTGGATCACGAGGTCAGGAGTTCGAGGCCAGCCTGGCCAACATGGCGAACCCTCATCTCTACAAAAAATACAAAAATTATCCAGGCAAGGTGGCAGGCGCCTGTAATCCCAGCTACTTGGGAGGCTGAGGCAGGAGAATCACTTGAACCCAGGAGGTGGAGGTTGTGGTGAGCCGAGATCATGCCATTGCACTCCAGCCTGGGCAACAAGAGCAAGACTCCGTCTCAAAAAATAAAAAAAGAAAAAAGTAAAGTACAGAGCTTAACCTGATAAAGTTATTTTTAAAGAAATACACAATATATGGTTACTTTATTGATGTATATTAGAGTGCATTTTCCTAAGTGTATTATGCTTCACAATAAAAAAAAAAGTTTAAAAAAAAAGGAAAAGGTTTGAAAAACAAACTGGAAATAATCTCATGCCTCCTGCCTTTACAAAAAAAGTACTTTATCTGGTCAGATCTCATAGTACTAAATTATTTTAATAACCATTTGACATAAACATCCAGTTAGAAATACAATGTTCCTACTGAGGTGCAGCTATCTGTGCTAGGACAGAGGTTGGCTCAGATTGATACACTGACTGATTAATTAATTTTGAGACGGAGTCTCACTCTGTAGCCCAGGCTAGAGTGCAGTGGTGTGATCTCGGCTCACTGCAACTTCTGCCTCTCCTGCCTTAGCCTCCCAAGTAGCTGGGATTACAGGTGCCCGCCACCACACCCAGCTAATTTTTGTATTTTTAGTAGAGACGGGGCTTCACCATGTTTGCCAGGCTGGTCTCAAACTCCTGACCTCAGGTGATCCACCCGCCTCAGCCTCCCAAAGTGCTGAGATTACAGGCATGAGCCACTGCGCCCGGCCAGAATAGAATTTTTTAACAAGACAACAAAGTGAGCTACAAGGTCAGTCTCTGTGTGCTTTTTCTTTTTTTGGTAAATTCATCCAGGAACAGTTTCAGAATTGCAGGTAACCACTATTCAAACTTGTCAAGAGACAAAGAAAGGTGAATAAAACATAAAACCAAAAAAACCAAAACCTGGCTGGGCTGGATGGCTCACGCCTGTAATCCCAGCACTTTGGGAGGCCGAGCCGGGCAGATCACAAGGTCAGGAGATCCAGACCATCCTGGCTAACATGGTGAAACCCCGTCTCTGCTAAAAATACAAAAAAATTAGCTGGGCGAGGTGGCGGGCGCCTGTAGTCCCAGCTACTCGGAAGGCTGAGGCAGGAGAATGGCATGAACCCGGGAGGCGGAGCTTACAGTGAGCCGAGATCGCGCCACTGCACTCCAGCCTGGGCGACAGAGTGAGACTCTGTCTCAAAGGAAAAAAAAAAAAAAGCAAAACCCAATCATATTCATATGGTTTTGAACTATTCTCAAAGACAGACCAAAACATGCCCTCTCGCCAGGCCTAACTCAATTCCAGCTGAGCTCTGCCGTCACAGAGTGGGCTCCTGTCCAGCCCAAGAAAAAGGTCCCCGGTCACTGAGAAGGATCTAGAACACCAGTGAACAGAGGAAAACCGGCTATTGGCAAAGGACCCCAGCACCCAGCATCTTAAGACAGAACGCTACGAGATTTTCACTCCAAGCCCCCATCCAAAATTCCACCACATAGCTCTCCTTTCATCTGTTTAATTTGGTAAGATCTCTCTAGAGGAATCTGAGACCAAAAAAGAATGAAGTGAAATCATCTGCATATGGATATAAGCAAAGTAAATAATTATATAACATATAACAGAACATTTCTTATTCAGTCTGTAGCTTTGAACTTACTAGAGTTTCAACATATCTTAACATATCAAAGGAACTCAGGTCTGAGCGCAGCTGCTTTGCTTTCTCTTTGCCCAAATCGGAAGCCAAAACAAGAAAGTGGGCATCTAGGACTGCTTCTCTTGCTCGGGACACTATGCAAAAAAGAAAAGAAAATATTCACATTACAAAATACATGTTATCCATAGATATTTTCCCTACATTTCCAACTACTTACCAGGATTTCCCACTAGACTAACAAAAAAAAGAAAATCTCAATAGGCAACCGACCCATCTCCTTCTAAAACTTGCTCCCCTGCCCAGCTCACCACAATCTCTAATGAAAGCTGACCAGTTTTCCTAAAACCCAGCTTTCTCTCTAGTTCTCCTACTCGCATTAGCTGAATCACAATCTCTTAAATAACCCCAGTTGAGCAAAACCCGTCATGTCTAATACTCACTTTTCCCTCTGACTCAATAACCCATCCTAATCACGATGATCATGTGTGCCGATGTAAGGACAATCAAATTCCCACTACATGCAGGACCCTGTGCTTGGCATGGTGGTTTGTGAACAGCAATAGGTAAGTTGCTAACGTTGCTAACCAAAATCATGGCATGTGCATGGCTGGCATCAGGAGGCTCATGCCTCTGTATGGCTTCACAGGCAACCCCAGCAAAGCCACCCAAATGAACAGTCTACAGGCAGCAAGTAGGGACCCCTGAGGATGGATGCTCAAGAAAGGCTTGACAGAGGACATGGGATTTAACAAAAGCTATGGAAAAAAAGATTTAAATTAATGGAGAAACAGGCCGGGCGCAGCGGCTCACGCCTGCAATCCCTGCACTTTGGGAAGCCGAGGCAGGCGGATCACTTTGAGCTCCAAAGTTTGAGACCAGCCTGGGCAATGCGGTGAAACTCCGTCTCTAAAGAATCAAAAATTAGCTGGGCATGGTGGTGCACACCTGTAATCCCAGCTACTCGGCTGCTGAAGCTGGAGAATCGCTTAAACGTGGGGGGCGCAGGTTGCAGTGAACCAAAATCATGCCACTGCACTCCAGCCTGGGCGACAGATTTAGGTGCTCCCAGACTACTTTTCATACTCCCTGTTGCCTGCAGGGTCTGATTAAGCAACCCCTCAGCCCCACTGTTGCCTTTTGTTGACCCTTCTTCATCTCCTGAGTATCCTGTGCCTGCCTGCCCCATTCCCTTCTCCTTTCATTTATTTATTTATGTTACAAACTGAGACCATCAAATCCATGAATGCCAAGCGTCTATTGTTTGCTGAGCAAACTAAGGCTCCATTGACTGAATAATTTTGCCCTAAAATGTTGCTTTAAATACTGGAAATAGCTGAGGGGGAAATGATGTGGGGATAAAGAACTGACTAGATGCATAGTAAATATCAAGGGAGTGATTGAGTCAAGCAAGACTAACAGCGAGGAGACTGAGAGTCCAGGCTATGAAGGGAAGACAAAGCTTAAGAGGGGAGTGGAGGGATTTAAACAGGTGAAGGAGAAAGACCCGGTTCCTGAAGGTTTTGATGAAGTTTAGCAAATGCAGTAGACTAAGATGGGAAATGGTAAGGAGGCTTTGGTCAAAGAAGAAACAGAAATTGGAGAGCATATATAAAGTGAAAAAGGAGACATTTAAAACACTAGTCATGGCCGGGCGCGGTGGCTCACGCCTGTAATCCGAGCACTTTGGGAGGCCGAGACGGGCGGATCACGAGGTCAGGAGATCGAGACCATCCCTGGCTAACACGGTGAAACCCCGTCTCTATTAAAAATACAAAAAACTAGCCGGGCGAGGTGGCAGGCGCCTGTAGTCCCAGCTACTCGGGAGGCTGAGGCAGGAGAATGGCGTGAACCCAGGAGGCGGAGCTTGCAGTGAGCCGAGATCGCGCCACTGCACCCCAGCCTGGGCGACACAGCGAGACTCCGTTTCAAAAAAAAAAAAAAAAAAAAGACTCCATCTTAAATCTCCAAAAAAAAAATTTGGCTGCATTCTCCCCTATGTTCCCACAGACCTGCCAGAGAGGGCTGGAGGGGACAGTGGTCTGGGTAGCAGTCCTGTGGCTCTATGACCATGAACCCACATCAGGGAGTACCCCTGTTACCAAGCAGACAGACGGCTGCTATCAATACCACTGCCGCTGCTTTCAATTCAAACTAAGGTTATTTTTTAAAGTACCCACGGCCTAGAGTTCAGTGCTCTGGGATCTCTCTCACTCACTCACACACAACACACCGCAGACTGGAGACCAGCAGGTACACTTGCAGGCCTTGCCACCTCCACTGTGCTACAGGTGGACCAATAGCAGGGAGCTGAGGAAGGCAAGACTGAGGGTGGGACAGGAAAAGAAACAGGATGTCAGAGGCTAGCTCAGTTCTGTAATTCATCCACTCAACCAGTGTATACTAGGGCTACGGCAGTAAATACAGAAAAAGAAAAAAGATAACACATGCAACGTTCTCAAACTTGAAAAGGCAACAGAATCAACTGGGGGCTTAATACAGACTGCGGGACCTACCCCCAAATTTTCACGTAAAGCCCTTATTATATAGTAAGCGCATAATAAAAATGGCATTATTGCTATAATGAAACGGTTCCCAAACTGGGAAAGCACTATTACAAATGTGAGAATTACTTGATGTCAATAATTTGGCGCTTATATAACACTAATGAAAAGTATCATAAAACACGAGAGAACGTAAAATAACAAATTACCTTCATTAAACAGAGTGTTAGCCTCTTCAAGGACCTCTGTTAATTTGTCACCAGCATTCAGTATGTCCTCCCGGTTTTCTATTTTAAAAAATACAAACTTTGGGAAACTTGTTACGCATTCACTAATAAGCAGTTGACAAGGTTATCACCTACAACAGCAAAGCGAAGGCCCGGCCCCTGCGTCCTGAGTAATTACTTCCAACATCTTTATGTTTTTAACCAAAATGACCTACAACAGCAAAGCGAAGGCCCGGCCCCTGCGTCCTGAGTAATTACTTCCAACATCTTTATGTTTTTAACCAAAATGGCCCGGAAAAGGAAAAAGGCGACCCTATCCTTTATGCAGCATGAATTTTAAAACGAAACACTGGCTCCCTCTAACCTTAACACAAAGGGCTGGACTCCGGCTGCACCCTCTGAGTGCTCCATAACCGAGTGGTTCTCAAACTTTGCAAGCAACACACACCAACACCTGGAGGGCCACGCCATAGTTGGGCGGGCCCACCCAGAGATTCGGATTCCGTGGGTCCGGGTGGGGTCCGAGAACGTGCATTTGACAGCTCTCGCGTGCCGCTGCCGCTGCGGGGCCAGGAGCCCACTCCGAGGACCGCCGGGCGCAATCAAAGCACGCGGAGTCCGCGTCTTGCCTCTCCCCACTGGCTGGCTGGGCTCAGGAGAGTCCGCGAACGGCTCTGGCCTCCAGCTTTTCCAGCCCGCCACTCGGGTACCCGCGCGCCCCCCGCCAAGGTCGCACGGCTCCAGCCACAGAACAGCTGTGGAAGCACTTTGTCAATAAATTAAGGAGCTGCGCGCGGCGAACGGCTGGCATCCGGCGCGTCTCTACTCGCGCCGCGCGGGGCCTGCGCCTGGCACCTGCCTCCGGTGCCCTCCCCACCGCGCCCGGCGCAGGGCGGGGACGGCGGCCCGGCCCGCGCCGCCCGGAGGCACCGCCTTACGTTGGACAGAGTTGATGAGCGCCCGGTACTGATGGCGGATCTGGCGGCACAGGCCTTGGTCGGCCTCCGCCTCCAAGCTGGCCGGGTCCATCATCTCGTCCCCGGAATCCGACGGCTCTGTGTCCTCCAGGCTCGGGCGCTCTGGGGCTTCCCTGCGCTCCGGCGCGGAGCCGCGGCGGGACCTGGGCGACAGTGGGGACCGCGAGCGGGAGCGGGAGCCGGTCCGATCCCGGTGCGGGTCGCGGCCCCGACCCCGGCCCTCGGTCCCGCGGCCGCTGCTGTCCCCAGACATAGCGCCAATTCGCCGTGCAACTTCGGAACGGCGGAAGTTCGCGCCAGAAACTGAAACCCCTGCTCTGCGCCAGCGCCTGCTCCCCGCGGAACGTGGCTCCCGGGCCCGAGCGAGCGCACAGCGACGCCTGTGGCTGGAGGCCGGCGACGGGCCCGGCCAGGTCTCCAAGGCGTCGGGGGGGTGCACAGGAGGGGTCTGGCGAGGATCCTTTGTTCCCTTGACAAGATGTGTAATGAGCTCCCTCTTACTCCACACTGCAGGGCCGTGAGAATCCTGGTTTTCTGCCCCACCCCCCCTTTCCCACCCCACTGGACCTGCATCTTCCCTAGGTCCCTTTGCCTGCCCAGGACACAGCCGCAGCCTGGCACCCACATGGGCACGCAGTGCATGTGTGTTAAACGAGGTTCCTGCCGTGGAGCAGGATGAGCGCGGGACGTGGAGACCAGATGCGCTCTGCTGCTCACCTGTGCCCTCAGTTTTCCGGTGTCATCATGGCTGGCGAAGGGGGGCGGTGGATGAATCAAATGTTTATGTGCAGCTGGCAATACCACCTTTTGTGAGGATGGCAGAACAAATTAACAGGTAAACTCTGTTAACCATCCTTCTAAATATCTGCAACAGAATGTCACCAGAGCACAGGGTTTTGGTCTAGGTCCTGCTGCCCCCCTCACAGAAAACCAATTACTGAGACACCATTATTACCAAGGAAGAAGGTTTTAGCAGGGTGCTGCACGCAGGGAGATTGGAGCTCAGACTCAATCCATTGCCCTGACCAACTAAAATTAAGGGTTTATACAGTTGCAGGGAAGCAATGCAACAATGTGTGGGAGAGGAACTTTCCTCTTTTCAGAAGGGGGAAGGAAGCTATGGGGATGCCTGAGGGGCTTGGCATCTCATTGTCTGGAATGCGGTGATCTGGTGAGTTTCAGTTTTTTGATACTTTTTGAGAGGCCCTGGGGGTCCTTTCGTGAGGAAGGAACTCAGATAAAACAAAGGTAAATTTCAACCTTAAGACTAGAAAACATAATTTCTAAGTTTATTTAAAAAATAATAAACAGTCTATGGGATTATTGGGTTGATTTTAATGACAGTTTATGTTCACATTTGATTGATTTTTTTTTTTTTTTTTTTTTTTATTAGACAAGCTCTCACTCTGCTGCCCAGGCTGGAGTGCAGTAGCACTATCTTGGCTCACTGCAAACCCATCTCCCGACCTCAAGTGATCCGCCCACCTCGGTCTCCCTAAGTGCTGGGATTACAGACGTGAGCCACCAGGCACAGTCTGATTCTCAAACTAGAGGATTCTAAGAATACCTCCTGAAGGGCCCAATAAAGATGGAATTATGTTAAGTATACTTTGAAAGATAAATATATGAATTTCACTCCATATATTTTGGATCGTTTCGAGTATTGTTTCCCAAAAGGTCTCTTTGGTGCTAAGAACACATTTTCTCGAAGGAACAATATTGTAAGTTGGGTTACTACACAACCTACAAATATACCATTTTGTGCATCGTGTCTGCTAAACTTGAGTTAGGCATTGTTCATTGCTGTCCAATAGCTACTACTTCAGCCACCCCTGCTTATCTGTATTTCATGAAGGGGACACGTGTGTGCCTGCTTCCTTAGATGAAATGTGATTGCGCTATCCAGGTCAAGGTAATCTCATTCCCCTTCCCCAGTGACTGGTCTAGGGTCATGTGATGCAACCTGGGTCCGTGAGATGTGAGAGGGTTTCCCAACTGGATGGAAAAGAAAACCCTTGACCCCCTACCCCCTTTGAGATGGCTGGCATAAGAATGTGGAGCCTGCCAATTAGCGGACATGGTGGTGCATGCCTGTAATCCCAGCTACTCGGGAGGCTGAGGCAAGATAACTGCTTGAACCCAGGAGGCGAAGGTTGCAGTGAGCTGAGATCATGCCATTGCACTCCAGCCTCGGTGACAAGAATGAAACAATGTCTGAAAAAAAAGAATGTGGAGCCTGCCATATTGGCAGCATCTGGTACTCAGGATGTGACAAGCATGAGGAAAGACCAGAGTGCTGGGGACAGTGGAGAGCAAAGATGGACATGGCTGAATTGCTGAATCAACCACATACCTCTAGACTTCCTGTGAAGTACGCCGTAAATCATGGTTTAAACCAGTTAATTGTTTCGTAGTTGTTGCTTGCAGCTCAGTGTTCTGTAACAGAATACTTAGCGTTCTTCCAGGTGAAAGTTCCTTCCAAGCTCCACACAAAAATACCTGAAATAGGCTGGGTGCGATGTCTCATGCCTGTAATCCCTGCACTTTGGGAGGCCAAGGTGGGTGGATCACCCAAGGTCAGGAGTTCGAGACCAGCCTGGCCAACATGATGAAAACCCATCTGTACTAAAAATACAAAAAATTAGCCAGGCGTGGTGGTGGGCGCCTGTAATCCCAGCTACTCAGGAGGCTGAGGCAGGAGAATCACTTGAACCCGGGAGGCGAAGGTTGCAGTGAGCTGAGATCACACCACTGCACTCCAGCCTGAGCAACAAGAGTGAAACTCCATCTCAAAAAACGAACAACAACAAAAACCCTGAAATAACTCATTCAATTCAAAGGTATTTGAGGTAGGGCTGGGCGCGATGGCTCAAACCTGTAATCCCAGCACTTTGGGAGGCCGAGGTGGGTGGATCATGAGGTCAAGAGATTGAGACCACCCTGGCCAACATGGTGAAACCCCGTATCTACTAAAAATACAAAAAATTAGCTGGGCGTGGTGGCATGCGCCTGTAATCCCAGCTACTTGGGAGGCTGAGGCAGGAGAATCTCTTCAACCGGGGAGGTGGAGGTTGCAGTGAGCCAACATGGCACACCACTGCACTCCAGCCTGGTGACAGAGCGAGAGTCTATCTCTAAATAAATAAATAAATAAATAAAAATATTTGAGGTGTACTCATAGGCTAGACATCCTACAAAGCACAACAGGGCATACAGATAATTCAGGTACTTGCCTCTGCTTTACAGGGTATCACCAGAAGACAGGCATTAAACTGTTTCTAAAATTCATGTGGGGAGCCAGGTGTGGTGGCTCATACCTGTAATCCCTGCACCTTGGGAGGCTAAGGCAGGTGGATCAATAGAGGCCAGGAGTTTGAGACCAACCTGGACAACAAAGCAAGACCCTGTCTCTACAAAAAAAAAAATATATATATATATATATATATATATATCTCAACATTAGCCAGGTATGGTGGTGCACACCTATAGTCCCACTGACTCAGGAAGCAGAAACAGGATGATCCCTTGAGCCCAGGAATTTGATGCTACAGTGAGCTATGATCATGCCACTGCACTCCAGCATGGGTGACAGAGCAAGACCTTGTTTAAAAAAAAAAAAAAATTATATGGAAATGCAAGAGACCCAGAATAGCCAAAACAATCTTGAAAAAGGACAAATTTGGCAGGACTCAGACTTCTTAATTTCAAGACTTAAAGTTGTATAACCAAAACTGTGTGGTATTGTCATAAGGATAGACATATAGGTCAAAGGAACGGAATTGAAAGTCCAGACATAAACCCATTCATTTATGGTTAACTGATTTTCTTTCTTTACTTTTTTTTTTTTTTTTTTTTTTGAGACAGCATCTCACTCTGTCACCTAGGCTGGAGTGCAGTGACACGATCTCGGCTCACTGCAACCTTCGCCTCCCAGGTTCAAGTAAATCTCTCCTGCCTCAAGCCTCCCGAGTAGCTGGTGTGTCCGGAATTGGTGGGTTCTTGGTCTCACTGGCTTCAGGAATTGGTGGGTTCTTGGTCTCACTGGCTTCAGGAATTGGTGGGTTCTTGGTCTCACTGACTTCAAGAATGAAGCCACGGACACTCACGGTGTTACAGTTCTTAAAGATGGTGTGTCCACAGTTTCTTCCTTCTGGTGGGTTCATGGTCTCGCTGGCTTCAGGAGTGAAACTGCAGACCTTCACGGTGAGTGTTAGAACTCATAAAGGCGGCCTGAACCCAAAGACTGAGCAGCAGCAAGATTTATTGCAAAGAGCAGAAAAAAATGAAACTTCCACTATGTGGAAGGGGAACCAAGCAGATTGCTGCTGGTTGGCTCAGACAGCCTGCTTTTATTCCCTTATCTGGCCCCACCCACATCCTGCTGATTGGTCCATTTTACAGAGTGCTGACTGAACCGTTTTGACAGGGTGCTGATTGGTGCGTTTACAATCCCTGAGCTAGACACAGAGTGCTAGACATAAAAGTCCTCCAAGTCCCCACTAGGTTAGCTAGGTACAGAGTACCAATTGGTGTATTTACAAACCTTGAGCTAGAAAGAGTACTGATTGGTGTATTTACAAACCCTGAGTTAGACACAGCGTGCTGATTGGTGCGTTTACAATCCCTTAGCTAGACATAAAGGTTCTCCAAGTCCCCACTAGACTCAGGAGCCCAGGTGGCTTCACCTAGTGGAGCCCACACCAGGGCTGCAGGCAGAGCTGCCCACCAGTCCCGAGAAGCCAGCAGCGCCTGCACTCCTCAGCCCTTGGGCGGTAGATGTGACCAGGCGCTACGGAGCAGGGGGCAGCACCCGTTGGGGAGGCTCGGGCCCTGCAGGAGCCCACCGCAAAGGTGGGGTTCGGACATGGCAGGCTGCAGGTCCTGAGCCCTGTCCCACCGGGAGGCAGCTGAGGCCAGGCGAGAACTCGAGCTCAGCGCTGGCCGGCCGGCAATGCTGGGGGACCCAGCATACCCTCTGCAGCTGCTGGCCCAGGTGCTAAGCCCCTCACTGCCCGGGCCGGCAGTGTCGGCCGGTGGCTCCGAGTGCGGGGCCAGCTGAGCCCATGTCCCCCAGAACTCGCGCTGGCCTGTGAGCACGGTGCGCGGCCCCAGTTCCCGGCCACGCCTCTCCCTCCATACCTCCCCAGCAAGCAGAGGGAGCCGACTCCGGCCTCGGCCAGCCCAGAGAGGGGCTCCCACAGTGCAGTGGTGGGCTGAAGGGCTCCTCAAGGGCTGCCAGAGTGGATGCCGAGGCCAAGGAGGCGCCTAGAGTGAGGGCTGCTAGCACATTGTCACCTCTCAGTGGGACTACAGGCACGTGCCACCACGCCCAGCTAATTTTTGTATTTTTAGT